ATATATATATATATATATTTCAGCCGTGGCTTTAGCTGTTTGCTGGAGCTTGGCTTTAAAATAGCATTTGCACAAGACTAAGCTTTGCAAAGCTCGATCTAAAGCAGTAACGTCTCCCCCACCTGAATTCCTGGCATGGCTCCGGCAACGGCCATTACTTCTACACGCAGGCCAAAAATGGTATTCAACCATCTCCCACTGAACATGCTATTAATACAAAAGCATCGGTGACTGTTGAGTGCAGTGTAAAGCTTCTGTCATATAGTCCCCCCAATGATAAATATCAAGAATAACACACGGTGAGAATGAAACTGCCATGATACTACGCTGAGCCACACGTATGTATTCAGAGCCTTTCTGAACCAGGACCCCCGTGGCACAATGGCGTTCCTCAGCGGTGCCTCACAATGTTGTGGCAGTGGGACTGTGATGTGAAGGGGGGATTAAGACTGATGTAAAGGGGAACTCTGATGTGAAGGAGGCTTCTGATGTAAAGGGGGCTTCTGATGTAAAGGGGGGCTCCTAATGTGAAGGGAGCTTCTGATGTAAAGGGGGCTTCTGATGTAAAGGGGGGCTCCTAATGTGAAGGGGGGGTTCTGATGCAAATGGTGACTCCAATGTGAAGGGAGGAATCTTGTTTTCAATGTGAATGGGGAAACCCACTTTTTTTAGGTGTTTTTGCATGGGGTCCCCCTTAAATTCTATGACATTTTAGACTGTTATGCCTTGAGACTTTGCATACTATTAAAGGGTACCGTGACTGAAAAAGGTTGAGAAACGATGGTCTAGAGTGACCGGTATTAGATTGTCTATGACGCTTCCACCAGGTGGGATTCAGAACTTGATGAGTTAGGGCTGTGCATCCGGGTGTTAAGATATTGCAGTTGTTCAGCTACATAATATCTAAAGATATTAGAAAGGATTATGTCAGCTTCTTTATTTGGCTTTTGAAAGCAGGCAATTGTAATTCAGGTCTAGATCTGCCCTAGATTAAATACAGAGATTAGTAGTAGGCAGCCTACCTATTTAAAGAATAACCTGGGGAGCTTTTGCTGACATGTGAATCATTAAATATTTTAAAGTTATATCACTGGTATAGTAACTGGTTGTACTGGACTTATCGTACTGGATAGTAAATTGTACCTAGTAAACTACAGAACATACCGTACTTGCCATAGGCAGCAAATTCTTGTGGAGCTTCCATCAGTGAATTCCTGGAAGTATCGGCAGGCAAGTATGTCACTGCTGTGAAAGTCTTGGCATAACTGCTGCCAATTTTCTATTATACTAGGGGATACAGCTGTCAGTAATATTGATGTACGTCAGACCCACCACCTACTCTGCGTCATTCTTCCACAAATGGCAAAGTTGAGACATTCGAAATACCATAAAGTCAAAATGACCAGAGTGCTACTATGAACAGCTACTGAGTGAAGGCAGGGAAAGAACCAGTACATTGGATTCTACTACTGTCTTCTGCAACTGTATTAACGTTCCTTGGGCAAAGCACAGACAATGTCATGTTGCAGGCACAGGCATTAATTTCTGGAACAAAATCTTTATTTACATGTATTTCTCATTAGCCACAAAAGATATTAATCCATGTTGTGTGCCTTGCAACCCAATTATTACCATATGAAACTAGCAGTGACGCAATCACTGTGCAGCACATAGCCTGTGCAGTAGACATGTGCACTGCCAAAAAATTCATTTCGTTTCGTTTCGTTTTACATTCGGATTTGTGTTATTTCGTTTTTCGGGATTCGGGTGTGAAAGTCAATTCGGATTCGGAATTCGGATTCGGACGAAATTCGGTAGCGTTAGTACGAACGTTCGTTTCGTTTTCTGTTCTTATTCGTTTCTTATTCGTTTCGTTCGTTTGCAGCAAAAGTGACATTTGAGGGGGAAAAAATATTTTTTCTCCTTCTCTAATGTTACTTTGCTCCAACGAACTAAATGAATAAGAAACGAATAAGAACAGAAAACGAAACGAACGTTCGTGCGAACGCTACCGAATTTCGGAAATGGAAATTTGGATTCGTTTGCATTCGTTATGTCTGTAATTCGGAATTCGGATACATCCGAATGTCCGAATTTACGAAAATTCGTCCGAATTTCGATTCGGAACGAAACGAATCGCACATGTCTAC